GAACCGGCGCCGCAGAGGCCGCGGGCAGCTTCGCAACCCAACGCTCAACCGCTGCGCCACCAGGGAGGCCCGATGTCTTGTATTCTTAAATATAGTTTTCAGAATTCCCAAACATAGCAGGAATTCAATAAATATGGGCCAAATTAATTAACTATAAAGATAATCTAAACAAAATTCAGCCAAACTCTACGATTCGCTTAACTATCTTACTTGGTTATGTATATATTTTAAATTAATCAATTGATTAATTTTTAGTTGATGTACTGTTGGGGTGTCCCCCATTAGGTATTACCACTGTAGTGTACCCACCACCAACACACCCATATTCTATCACCATAGACCATTGTGCTCCCTTCCCTCTTTGTTCTTATCCCTCTCCTGTCCTCTCCCCCCAATAAGTGATCTTTTTTTAAAAAAAGATTTATTTATGCATACAAGAACTGGGGTACAGGCCAGAGGTGTGGAGGGGGTGAGAGGATTCACCAGAGACAGAGAGGGGAACAGAGCAGGCAGACTGACTGAAATACACTGCTGAGGGGAGCAGCAGGTGTGTCAGGAGAGGTCTGCTGTGCCATGTGGGTCACCTCCCTGGTTGGGGATTGAACTAGTGCTGCGGTGGCTGTGGCTAGCTTCATAAGTTGCATCTTAGCCCCTTGCGCCACCCAGGAGGCCCCAATAAGTGATATTTTTTAAACTCTCTTAGCCACTTGTTTTCAAGATTCATCCACATGATAGCATGTATTAATATTTCATTCCTTTTTGTTGCTAAATAATATTCCATTGTGTTGATATACCACATCTTGTTTATTCATCTGTTAGTTGGTGTCTAAACTTATTGCTTCCTCCCTTTTGACCACGATGAGTCATACTTCTGTGAACATTTGTATGCATGTTATTGCATGGACGTGTGTTTTTTTTTTCCTCTTTAGTATATACCTAGGAGTGGAATTGCTGAGCATCAGCCTTCTCTTGATACTCATATCACTGGGAATGTCAAGAGTTACTATTTCTACCCAAACCTCCCTAAACTTTCCTGTGATCATCCTAAATTTTTTTGATACCTATTGACTCAGTTAATAATCACTGAGTACTTATTGCATGTCGAATAATTTAGGCACTGGCTAGCCTTTGTGGGCACCTTGGATTCCTGTCTCTCCAGGATGTAGAAAGGACCTGATAACAGGGTAACTTTTTATCTGCAACAGACATAATTATAGACTATCATATGCAGAAAGACAAAAATACCACTTAATTTGCATCATTCTTGGCTATCAAAATAAGCTATCATCTCTTAATCTTCTTATAAACACTATCCATAACCTTTCATAGAAGCCTCTTATCCACACTGCTTATTTGTGCATTCATATTTGTATGTTTTAATTTACTCATCCTTTTATTCAGTACATTTTTTTCATTCATTCAGTACAAATTTATTACACATCTGGATTCTGTCAATCATTGTACTAGGTTCTATGGATATAAAGATATACGACATTCACTTCTCATTGGAGAGAAATATATATAATAGATTGTTTTTTATATTTTATTTTATTTTATGTAATTCTTACATCATTTTTCATTTTTGTACAATGTATGCATTTTCATTTTGGTTATATTCCCCATATAATTCCCACTCCCTTTATTTTGACCCTAATCCCTTCCCCCCCAACCCCAGTAGTGTGTCTCTGGTCTACAGTTGCTTGTTGATTTTGATTTCTTCTTTATTATAATTAGTCTTTTTCCTGGTTCCTTATTTAGGTTTTCTAAATTCCTGCTATGAGTGAGACCATCCGGTATTTTTCTTTTTCTTCCTGGCTTATTTCGCTGAGCATGATCCCTTCCAGCTCCATCCATGTTGCTGCAAATTGCATGAGTTTATCTTTTTGATTGCTGAGTAATATTCCATGGTGTATATGTACCACATCTTCTTGATCCAGTCATTTATTTTTGGGCATTTGTGTTGTTTCCATAGCTTAGCTATTGTAAATATTGCTGCTATAAACAGAGGGGTGCAGGTGCCCTTTTGAATTAATGTTTCTGTGTCCTTTGGGTAAATACCTAGGAGTGGAATTGCTGGATCATATGGACCCTCTATCTTTAGTAGGTTGAGGAATCTCCACACAGCTTTCCATAGTGGTTGGACCATTTTGCACTAACATTATATGAGTTGTTCCTAACCCATTTTGAGGTTACTAGGAAAGACTTCCTAAAAGGTAGAAATGTAGATCATAGAGACAGGCTGGGGTATGGATGGAACTTTGCAAAAAAGGTGATACAGAAGGTAAGCAGATACTGAAGGAAAAACAAAACAAAACAAAACATCGTGGTACAAGTAGGTTAGGATTGCTGAATCATAAAGTGTTTTTGGGATAAAGAATCTTCAAAGAATAACCATAATTACTTAATATATAGCCTGTCAGAGGGAATTAATAATTAAGAGAAGAAAAATTATGCAGTGATTTACAATTGCCCACTAAATAGCTGCATGAAGTCAGACAAATGATTAACCACTCTCTGCCTTATTTATCGTGAAAATATCCTTTCAAAAGCGACACATATATTGCTTAAAATATGCAACCCTAAAAAACTTTCTAATATTGCCCCCCAAAATAGCCAAGACTTGAACAGTTAAGACAAAGTAAGATATGGATATATATGTCATAGACTAAATTCCAGATTAAATGGACTGAAATGAACTCTGAAAAAAAAAATTGATCTATTGCAAGCCTGGCTGGGTGTCCCAGTGATGCTGGTCACCTAGAGAAGTGTCAACTAAAATCAAGAATTAAAAGGGTATCCCCCTCCCTGGACTCCAACTAAGGGGTAAAAGCTAGAGCCAAGGTACAGTTGAAGTGACCTTGCCAATAAACTGGGTGAACAGCAACAAAAAGTTGTCTCCAGGCAAATCAGTAACTTAAAAATAAAGCAACCAAAGACACTTTAAAATTTATGACATCAATCAGCCCCCCAGTGCCCCAAAACTAGGGGTCTAAATAGAATAAAATTTAACATCCCTCCATCTTTTCCTCTATGCAGAAATACCATCAAATAGATCCATTAACCAGACACCTGCTTGGTCTTTCTCTGCAAAATCCTTAAAAATGTAAAATGTGTTTCTTGAAAACTGACATTTTCCTCAAAAATACTCATTGTGAGATTCAGAATTTGGACAGCTTTCCCAGAGCTTTCTGGAGGCTCTTCCTGGGCTTGAGTCCTGTCTTGATACTTTAATAAACTCCCTTAATTTTTGCCTGCCTCAATCTATTTATGACAAGAGAAGAAAATTCCCAAGCCCCAAGTTCAAGTCTGCACCTATCACTCCCCATCTCTACCCTCCCTGATTCATGGAAAGGGCATCCCCTTTTATCTGACCTCAAGTCTTTCACTCATAGTTGTTTTGAAACATTTGATGAGTCTCTGCAATTGTAGATTATCATGTTCTGAGTCCAATAACTATCCTACAGCCCTCATTTCTTCATCAAGAGGTTGTTATATTCTCCTGTAAAATTTCTATCAGAGGCTTCATCATATTTTATTCTTAGATGTCTGACAGCAGTGGTCACTAAGCCCCTTCTTCTTCTTTGAAAGCTCTTCATCTTTATCCTTGATCTTCTCTTACTGTCTCTAGCTCCATATGTCCATACACAGGCAAACAGAATAGAGTCTGATACTTCAAGCGCCAGAGCTTCCCTTTAAGTTGGGCATGTAGACTCCAGAGCCTTTGCTCTTATGTGTAACTTCATACTAACAAAGCAACTGGGAAGACCCTGTGTAATCTTGATGCTCATCCATAACTGTCCCCACATATTGGGCCCAGTCATAAATGCACACAAGCTCAAGAGGAAAGAGACAGGTCTGCTCCTGTCTCTTTCACCCTCTTCAGAGGTCTCACTTCCTTAATAGTCATCTCCATGAAAGAGAAACAAGCAATCGATGGTGTGAAAAATACATAGGGAAAAAGGCCTGATAGAAACTTCGAGACACTAGATGTAAGTGGCACAGAAAGAAAATGGAAGCACACTTTGATATCAGAGAACAGGTTTACACTAAGTAACACCTGTGTTCCCATCTTGCTCTACAGTCATGTAGCAGTGCACCCTCCATTACAGTGCTCCCCGAGGACATTACTAACATGGATTTATTGTCCTGTTAATGAAGGGAGACCTTACCCTGGTGAATGTGAAGCTTTCACCCTTGCTGGTAATTCTGTTGTTGATTTACATGATACAGATGTATCCTAAACGACCACCATTTGTGACATAAAATTTGGAAAATTGTGCATTCTAAGAGAGTTTTCACAGTGGCCATCATTTATGGAATGCAATTTCCACAGTTGAATAAAATGTTGCATATTGAAAATAATATATATGTGTATACGGCTAAGGCAGCAAAACTGGATCATCAACACATTGGATGTTCAAAATTTATTGGTAAAATTAACTATCAGAAACAAATGCTCTTGTGCCTGCCCATTCCCCGCCCCCGCCCCCGCCCCCCACCCCCCAAAACACACACATTCACTGCTGGGAGCTTAATTTCTAAAGGATGTGGATGTCCATTTGCTGGAGAACTGACCTCAGCACATGGAAGCAACATCACTGGAAGTTGCCAGGGGCATACCTACATCCCTCAGCCTCAACCAAAGGCAGCACGTTCTCACATGACTCCTTTACCCCAAGCATGGCCAATTTGTGGTTTCATTCTGTTCCAACATTCCTTATGGGATCAGCCTGAGGCTAGACTTCAGGTGAAACCAAATCTTTGTTTTGCTTTATTCTTCCACCCCATCCTGCTTCCTTCACCTTTTTGCAAGTTGCTTCTGAAGCACTCCCTCAATAAATCACGTGCACATGGATCTCTGTCTCAGGTATGCTTCTAGGATACCCCTTCTAAGATGTGAAAACACCCAATAGTGGGGACTCCCTGGTGGCACAGGCAGTTGAGCGCAGCGCTTTGAAGCTGTCCGCAACCTCTGCAGCGCTGGTTCGATCCCCGCCAGCAGCAGAGATACCCACATGGCGCGGAAGACCACTCCTGTCTCACCTGCTGCTCCCCTCATTAGTGTATTTCATCAGTCTGCCTGTTCTGTTCCCCGCTCTGTCTCTGGTGAATCCTCTCACCCTCCTGTGCATCTGGCCTGTACCCTGGCTCTTGTATAAATAAAATAAATCTTTAAAAAAAAACACCCACTAGTTCCAAAGGAGGCTAAATACTGAAAGACATTGACCTGATATAAACCATTTTCAGAAGATGGACATTTACAAAGTGAGAGAGGAAATCCTTTTAATTATACAAAAATGCATAATTGTTTGAAAAATTTGACATATAGTGACAGTAATGTGAAAATTGTATACAATTATTGACAGTCAAGTAATAGAAGCATAGAAAGTCAAAGGTTAGCCACACAGGGTTCCTGTCAAGCACCATTGTGTACATCCATGAACTTAGACTTAATAGCCATGACCTTGCCACCTACATCCTGTTTGACATTTTCAGAAAGATGCGACAATAGAGTTGATGAATTCATTAGCATTATGAGTCATGTGAAATCAAAATCTTTAATACATTTGAATAAGAGTTGACTGAAAACTGTTGGTTTGGAGAAGATAAAAATTACAAATGTTTTAAATCGGGTCCACAAAGAAAAAGGAAACAGAAAACTATTTTACCCTAACTGAACAAGGGATGGACAGCACATCTCCATATCATATTGTGCTTATGTGACTGGGTAGGCCAGAGGAGTTTACATCCCAGAGCACAAAGCCAGAGATGAGCAGAAAGGAATTGCCAAATGCTTAGTCAGATATTGGACAAGATGTTCTGTTCTGATTTTTCAAAAGAAAAGGACTATAGATTTGAGATTGAGGCGCATTCATTTTTAGATTCAACCAATATTTAGAGGGCACCTCTCCACTGCTGGGGTTCTGTGCTGGTTGCTGTGGTTACAGACATGGAAAGGCAGAAATGAGCTCCCAAGCCACGTTGTGTCTGTCTTGTAATCATTCCTCGTCTTCCTTCCCTGCTTTTTACAAATGATGTCTGGAGTTTATCAGCTCTGTCGATGTTTGTGTGCTTCCTAGGTCTTTCAAATATTTAACGATGTCTAAGCTTTTCACGATTGCTTTAAACTCTTCAGTTAACTCAGATTGCAGAATTGCACAGGGAAAAATGCATCTCTTCCCTTTCTCTCTAAAGAGCCCTCAATTATGGTCCTTTAACGGGTGGATATTGTTCATTAAATATTCCGTATCTTAATTTTTTTCTCTAAAAAGTAAGTTTTCTACTTATACCTCTGGGAGTCTTGTGCTGAGGGTTAGCATCCATCTTGTAAAATTCTTCAAGATTTTTGGACACAAGCACCCCTCTTGTGAGAGACTGGTCTATCTGTGCCCTTTAGATTTCAATGTCTGTCTCAGTTTATTCATTCCCTTGTATGTGAGTAATCATAGCAACTAGGGTTTGTGAATCTTTTCATTACATCTCATGTGTTACAATTATGAGGATTTTATCTTAGTAAATTAAATGTATTAACAGTGTAGCTAGTTTTATTGAGTACAACAGTCAGGATTCTGAATAGTAGCTAGAATGTAATTTCCTAGAGAAAGGCATTTGCTCTATTGTGCTAATTAGCTTGTTACATTTTGATGAATATTTTGACTAAATTCTGAGATGAATTGATAGGAATAAATTTTGCAAGTACTTTAAGGAATATTATTTGGGATGGTTCTTTCATCTGTTAGTGGAACAATGTCATCTTCTTTTAATAATTGTAAGGATTTTGTATCATGCTTTAAAAATAAAATATGTAAGTGAGATTTGGACATTGGGAACCAAGGACTTAGAATTTCCATACATGTCTTCCTTTTTAGAAAGCCACACTGTCTGAGAAGAACCCTCACACAGTTGTGCTTAATACAATACATAAACAAATTCCTTATATACATTATTTTTATCACTGGTCTAAGCTTACCAGTGTGTTTGTGCCTGTGTTGACATAAGGTTCATAGAGACTCTTGGGATTTATAGTGTTGGATTTGAAAAAATCTGTTTATATCAAGTGGATTCTCCATTGAAGAGTAGATACCTAGTTTTATAAAAAGCATATTTTATCTGATGTCATGAAGAGCTCTTCATTTTCAACATTTAATCTCTGGAAAAGTGAACAAATGAGGAATAAATTATATTACTTAGCAACCTTATATTCAATTCACTGCATTGTGAAAATCTTACATCCTACAAATAATTCACATACTGAAACAATGGACATAAATTATAACTATTAAGAAACATTAAAAATCCAAATAGTTATAACCTAATTCGTAGCTCATTTGTTTTAAATCAATACTTCAATTGTTAGTTTCTAAGAAAATTAATTACTAAGAAAATTGTTAATTTCTAAAAAAAAATTTCACAAGCAAAATAACTTAGGAGTATCTTGAACTAGAAAAGATCTATTTCATAAAAATTCTTTATTTTATGTTTTATAGTGCATACACTTCTACAATGCTTGCTGATTCATTGGTATCTTATAAACAGCTTGAATTTTTATTAAGACTCATATCACTGGTCTTTATGTGTACATATTAGAAGATAAACTAGAGATGGTTGAAATTTAGTAGGCTTTTATTTCTCCCCACAAAAAATATCTTTTCTCGGGCCTCCCCGGTGGCGCAGCGGTTGAGCGCTGGCTTGCGAAGCTGCCCGCGGCCTCTGCGGCGCCGGTTCGATCCCCGGCTGCTCCCCGGCCACCAGAGGAGGGTCCCACATGGCGCGCAGACCTCTCCTGCCGCCCGCTGCTCCCCTCAGCAGTGTACTTCGGTCCTTCTACCTGTTCTGCTCCCCGCTCTGGCTCTGGTGAATTCTCTCACCCTCCCGCGCTTCTGACTGTACCCAGTGCATGTATAAACAAAACAAACAAACAAACAAACAAACAAATAAATAAATAAATAAATAAATAAATAAATAAATAAAAACATGCCTCTATTTAAAAAAAAAAAATCTTTTCTCAGTAGGTGCAGAATTAGGGTTGATAATTGCAATAACACCAGATAACATATTTGCTTATGGTGGATAATTTTTGCACTATTTTCTAAAAAAAGTCTTGTCTCTGTAAACTTAAGATACTGACAATTGACACTTAAGAATTCTTATGATAAACAAAACAACCCCCAAAAAACAAACTTCAAAAATGAAGTTTTTGAAGAAGCACTCTGAGAAAATGAAAAAGGAATTAACATTGATCATTTGCAATTTAATTAAGACAATATCTTGAATGCAAATGAAGGGGACAAAAGATAAATTCAAAGGAGTGTTTAAATGATCTTGCTTGGCACTTTAATTTTATTTATTTTTTGAAGATTTTTTAAAATTTATGCATATAAGAACTGGGGTGTAGGCCAGAGGTGTGGGTGGTGGGAGGATGCCAGAGAGACAGAGTGGGGAGCAGAACAGGCAGATATACTGAAATGCACTGCTGAGGGGAGCAGCGGGCGAGTCAGGAGAGGTCTGCTGTGCCATGTGGTTTAGCAACCTGGCTGGTGCTGGAACTCATTCGCAGCGGCTGGCGATAGCTTGATAGCACTGAGACTTTAACACCTGTGCCATCAGGGAGGCCTGATACTTTAATTTTATAGAGTGGAAACAGACATACTGAGGCTAAGTGATTTATATAAAGTCATGGTTAGAGTGTGGCAGAAAAGATCCTGACTCTTGTCCAATCCCCTTTTCTTTGCATGCCATGACCTCTTATAGAAGGATACATGCCAGTTAATTGTAATTGCTTATAAAAAACCAGCTGAAGGGCCTCCCTGGTGGCACAAGGAGTTAAGACACAATCTATGAAGCTGTCTGCAGCCTCTGCAGTAGGAGTTCAATCCCCCAGCCGGTCAGGGAGCAACCTGCATGGTGCAGCAGACCTCTCCTGTCTCGCCTGCTGTTCCCCTCAGCAGTGTACTCTTGTCAATCTGCCTGTTCTGTTCCCCACTCTGTCTCTGATGAATCCTCTCACCCCCCACACTTCTGGCCTATACCCTAGTTCTTGTATGCATGAATAAAAAAAGAAAAGAAAAACCAACTGAAAAAAATGGTGAACTGTGATCACATATGTGCTGAAATAGCATTAGTATATTCAAGATTATTTGGGAGAGGAAACACCATTCTGGAACCTGCATCTCAGACTTGGTGAGCTGGAATGACAATCGGCAACTTTATTTTTACCAGTTATCAGTCACTGATATAATGGGGCAGATGCTACCAGAGAAACTTAATTATTGAAGCAAATTTTCTGAAAAAATATATGCTTGTTTAGATTTCATTGTACAAGGATGGGGTTTGTATTTTCCTTAGCTATAAAATTCTCTCCTTTTGATTTCATATGATGGTCAAATCTGCATGGAAACAACCCACTGAGGGCAAAACAGTGCAAAGGATCTTATTTTGCAACATTGTGATGCTAAGTAGGACTATATTTTCTTGAATGACTTCCTCAACTTCTCCTTCAGTACGAGATGGGGGATAGATAATAGCTGAGTTGCATTAAATTTGTTCGATTTCTCCCCATTCTCTTTACTATTGAGATCATATATTAGTAAATTTTATTTATTTTAATCAGTTTGCTTTAATCTAAACTCAAGATGGAGTTTAGAATACGAATATCATGTAAGATATGTGTTCTCTTGCATGTTATTCATGTTTTATTTTATTTATTTTTTTAAATTGCGGGGGTGGGGAATGTAGAGAGGGGAAAGACAGAATGGGGGACACCTCATGTTTTATTTTATGTGCATGCAAGTTCACGTATTTGATAGCCTCATTAGTCTATATATTATATTTATAACACTTCATTAGATTGAAGGTTTTGAAGCATTAGATTACAGGATGTTGTAAGAATATTGTGAAAAATTTCTGACACATCCATTCATCTGAAGGTTAGTTGCCAACATGATGCAATGTGGCCCCAGAATATGTCAATAGAGTATAAACAAGGACACTCCAGAGAGCCACAATACAACCATGAATATCAGTATATTAATACTGGTATGTTACTACCATCCAATCCGTAATCCCATTCAATTGTTCAGAATATGTCCGTTATACCAGAAAGATGCAGTTTAAAATAATGCATTGCATATAGCTGCCATGTCTCTTTAGCTCCTTAATTTTTCTCTGAATTTTATAATCTTAACACTTTGAAGCTTGTGGGCAGTCATTGCAGAATGTCTTTCAATTCAGATTTGTCTAGCTTTATTCTAGATTAAATTCATGTATCTTTGGTAGGCATATCACAAAAGTGAAGCTGCTTTTTTCTCATTGCATCTTGTCTGTACTATAGTATTGCAACCTGTCCAATTTCCGATGATGCTTATCTTTGGTGTAGGTGAAAGTGGCATCTGCCAAGTTCCTTCACATAAAATTGCTCCTCTTCCTTTGTAAATAACAAAAACTTCAAGGGGAGATACTCTAAGACTTGCAAGTATCTCCTTCAGATTTTCAAGTTATTCATGTATTTATTCTTTTATGGTTTACAATTTTATTAATGGACGGGAATCCACTATTATCATTATTTATTTTGATTCTTAAATTGCTGTGGGCATGACTTTGTTTTATATTCTTTTGATGTATCTAAATTATTATTGAGCATTGATTTTTTTTTTTCTGGCACAACAAAATATTTTAGGTTCATCTTGTACTCTTCTTGTCCCACCTTAGAGTTGGTCATTTTTCTAAGAAGTCCTGCCTGTTTCTTTCCAATGAGAATAGCATTTAGAAGTCAAGATTTGGTTGCTAAGTGTGCTCATGGTTCTTAGGGGTTTCAAGGCTTCCAGAGTGTTTCACAGGGAAAATCTAAGGAATGTATGATAATATACACATATTGATATGTGAATTTATTCCTTCCTTCATCTGTCTACCTGTCTGTCGATCCATCTATCTATTATTTAGCTACCTTTCTTGATATCCATGAGTCCATAGCAATACCTCCAATTTCTATTCAACAACACTGAGTTCCTTCTAATTTTTTCCCATTTCAGTATTTGCTTCTTCCTTCTCTAACAACTGAGAAACGTGGCTTGAATTATACCGAAAATAATTTACTTATGTGCTCACTCCCCTGTAGGTCACAAAATTCCCAACACCACTGCTACTTCTTGCCCTGCATGGATGCACTTTTTCACTGCCTGCCTCTCTGCACACCATCTTCCTGAAGACGGCTTCTTACTCTCCCAGACTTGGCTATCCCTTGGGGTAGCCTTCCCACACAGACGTCCTTTGCACCCTGTTTCTTATACCCTGAGCTAGGTCATTCGGTTCTCAACACCCCCATCCTCTCTGGCCTGTTTGCCTACTTTGCTCTGTCCTACTTATTGGATTTATGATTAAGTTGCTGGGGAAGGGAAGAGGAACAACAACTCATTAGATTTTAAAATTAAATGCCAAACTTCTAAAATATTTAAACTACTCAGTATATTATTAAAGGAAAGGGATAGGGAATATTTCTGAAAACTTTTTTTTGGTACCAGTTTATAAAAAAATGCTGGATAAAGAATACACCGTGTTGGCAAAGATAATTATAGTGGCATCAAAGTAAAAAGCGTTGGTTGATAGTGGAGGTGAGTGACCAGTGTAATTTAAATCACAAACAAAGCTTTAGGATCCATTTCCCTTTGTTCAATTAAGAATCATTTAGTTGTACATTTTTTTAATGGCTCCTTTTTCATTTCTTAGTTACTAAGAAATGCTTCTGGCATTTACTTTCTGTGCCATAAATGTTAATGCACTTAAGTAATATTTTCTTGGAGGTGTTAAGTAATTTTAGGTCATTTACTTTCCTGGATCACAGAATATCAAACACAATTTATAGGAGAGATGGGATTCTACTTGCTCAAAACACAACTGCTAGTGAATTGGGAATGCAAATGTACCTCTCTGTTGTTGCAGGATGGCAAGTAGTCAAGCAAGCATCCTACAGGTTGACAACTCGAGAAAAAGTCAAGAGACACATGTACCTCTTGCATACACAGGGGAGACCCAGCATGACTAAGTTACCGGTGGAAGGGGCTTGCGATGCCATCTTTAATAGCTAAACTAGAAGAACCTTGGAGTTTGGAAAGGGAAGGTTAGCTAGAGGGGTTGCCAGGGAAGCAGAGTAGACAA